CAGGAGGAACAGGAGAGTTTCTGGGGCTTCATCCCATCCTCTGCTTAATGGCAAAATTTATGGAGGGGTCACCTCTCTGGGCTCCCTGGCACTGAGAAGATCATGCCCCCCGAGCATGCCCACTGTCCTGGAGACCTTTAATTGAGTCCAGTAGTATCGAGCAACCCAAAAGCCTGAAACTGAGGTGTAAATCACCCCAAACCCTCAGCTTTGAGCTAGCAAGACTGGGCTGTTCCTGGGGTGCCACAAAACATCTCAAGGCAGTGGGGAACACCGAGCATGGGGCAGGGGGGTAAAGCCAGTGTCAATGCCACCCTGGGAGGGCATGTGGGGGAGCAGCCAGCACCCAGCTGGCACCGGGGTGCAGGACCCAGGTCAGAAGCAGCCCCAGCCATCACCTCCGTGGACAAGCTGGTGGCATCAGCGTGGAGCAGGGGGACACATCTTGTCTGAGCTGCGGCTGTCCCGCCCCGCGGGCACGGCCCTGCTCCTCTCTCTGTCCCTTTCCCTGTCCCTTCCCTGATGCTGGCCGTGTCCCTGTCGTCCGTGGAGCACGCGTGACACCCAGTGGGCGAGCACCAGACTGCACACGCCGGGCGAGCCGACCAGGGTCCCCGGGAATGGTGGTCCTGGCCTGGGGATGTCACCGATGTGGGTGGAGGTGGTCTTCCTGCGGGGAATGACGTGACACTGAAGTTGGGGTTTAATTTGGTTGGGTTGGATGGACACACGGCTGGAGGGAGGCGGGGAGGGGTCACTGCAGCCCCAGGGTTTGGGGGTCTCTCCAGGATCCCAGGGTTGCAGGGACTCATAGGGGTCCCTGCAGCCCCGGGGGCTCTGGGGTAGTCCCTACAGTCCTGGGACTCTGGGACCACACTTGGCATCCAGGGGTCCCTGCAGCCCTGGGGGTCTGCTCTGGGGTCTCCCCAGGGATTCTGCTGCCCCAGGGTGTTTCATGACTTACATCGCTCCTGGGTTGGGATATCGCTTTTCCCTGGCTTTTCTGCTTCTCGCTGTGTCCCTCAAAGGGGGGGCAGCCTGGCCAGAGATAGCATGACCTGATGTCTTTCAGGGGCATAACACCTTCCTGCTCCCATCCTGGGAAGATCTTCACCTCCCAGCCACCATTTCCTAAAGCTGGTGGGCTGTAATCCTTCTTAACTGCTCCAGTTGAGGTTCTCAGGCCAGGAAACTCCCAGACCATCTCTAGCTTTTCCTCCTAGCTCTTTTGTTCCTTCCCCAGGAGATAAACCCTGGTGGAAAGAGGATCTGAGGGGAGCCAGTGCTGCGGTTCACATAAAGACAAAGCACAACCATTTTCTGTAGGAAAAACATTTTTCATTTCAATTTGCAAAGCTTTCCAAAGCCGATTCTCAGAGGAGCAGGAGCAGTCACTGCAGAGGGGATTGGATGCTCTTCTCCAGCTCTGGAGAGGCTGGAAGATTGTCCTGCTGAGGCATCTGAGCTTGTTAATGGAACCATGAACACCCACACACAAAGACCTGCAACCCCACTCCTGGTGTGTAAATCCCACATCCTGGCTCTAGAGACTGTAAAGACACTTGGAGAGTTTAGAAATTTGACCTGGAGAACGAAAGGAGGAGGCAGAAGGGACCAGAATGTCCTTGTTCAGACACAGCCACTATGGGAACTGGGTCCTCCATGTCATCCCCTAACCAGGACCTCCAGATGCCCTGGTCCCACCAGGCTGTGGAGACTCTCCTGCTCACAAAGCTGGTGGCAGGCAGGGATCCTGGGGGATGCTGGTGTGATGGTCCCCCATGTCATCCACACTTCCCATGCACAGTGACAAAGCATGGCCAAGTGCAGGACCCTGCATGCTCGCAGCAGCTGGACTCATCTTAGCAGCACCCTGGGAGAGTATCCCAGAGACGGGACAACCTTGCGAAGGACGAGCCTGTCTCCTGATGCTGCATTTCTCACTTGGGAGGGCACAGACACAGAGCACAGCTATGCTGTCAGGCCAGGGAGTGTAACTCCATGCCAGCCATGGGGCCACCACAAGCTGCCGGTGTCCCACAGCCAAGGAAAGCCAGTGTCCAATCAAACCACATGTGAGGAGTCACTACCAGCTGCCAGAAGCTGCAGGACAGTGGGTTTACACCAGTAACCCCAGTGTCCAGGTTCAGCCAGCCCCAACAGCAGACCCTGGAAGGCACCATGCCATGGGGATGCACCCAGAGCCCAGCCAGCTCCCTGCTAACAGATACTCGTGCAGAATGAGCCTATGAAGTCCATCTTCCTCGGGCTCAGGTCTTGTTAGGGTGGCAGCTCTGATGCCTCCAGAGAAACATCCTTTATTTCCTCCCTCCCCACTGCTGAGCTCCTGCTGCTTCCTCTGCAGAGGATGGGAAGGATGGGGCTGTCATACCTCAGGGACATCCCACAAGATGGTGTCACATTCCTCCTGAGATAGCCCCTGCCTGGCCGGGAACCTAAGACAGCTCCAGCCGCGGGACGTTTGGTATTCAATGCTCTCAAAAAGAAGTGAAACAAGATGTAACAGCAGCAAGGTCACAGTAAGGTGTTGCTTTACATTTGCTATGGTTGCCTCCATCTGTCTCCCTTGGGGGGTGCAGGCTCCCAGCAGCATCCCCCAGATCCAGGCCTTGAGTCCCAAAGAGCCAAGATCAGTGGTAAATGGAGTTGTTTTGTGCCCCAAGTGCTTGCAAGGTCAACTGGGTCACGGGAATCCATCTCAGCTCAGCTGATGGCTTGGAGGGGACATGTGATAGTGACCAGAGAGCTTTTGGGTGGCTGCACTGTTATCCAGCTTGAACACTGACCCCAAGGGCTGCTTCAGAAGAGAAGAAAGAACTTTCTGTTCAAGTTTCCAGTCTGACTCACAGGGCAGAGAAATGCTCCCATCCCTCAGCTGCAGAGAGAAATGTGGCCAGGCAGGGCTGGCTCCTGCTTCCACGATGCTGGGCAGGCGGTCTGCTCCTTCCCACGCAGCTGGCCTGAGCTCCTCCATCCCCAGGGTGCAGCATCCTCCTTTCCTTCACCCCTTCGGGACGACACCGACACTCTTCGGAGCCACAAAGCCTCCAGGCTCAGGTCCCACCTTCCCACACACACCCACGTGTGGGTTCCCCAGGCTGTGTCTGGCTCTTGCAAGGGCTGGGGTGACTGCACACGCTCGCACGTGGACACACAGATGTGCACATGCTCCTGTGCACCCCAAGGGACACTACAGCAATGGCATTAGACAGCTCTAGACCATAGATCCATCTGGCCTTGCTTGCTCCCTGCTCCACAGCCCCAAGGCCACCCCAAGGTCTTTTGTCTGCATTGTCCCCAACTTGGGATGTGTCACTCCCTGCTCGCTGCGGCAGCTCTTTAACCAAGCGTGGCACTTGGCAGTTCTGCCTCACCAGCAGATGACCATGGCACTCAGAGCAGCCCAAGTTGTGAAAGGCACAGCTCCATGACAAGCCAGTCTGCATGGAGAAGGGGTTGCTCAGCCCACCGTGCTACAGCACGGGCAGCTGCAGGCAGCCTTCCTCCCCAGGAAAGACTTTACAAGAGGCTGCAGCTCTCAGTCCAGGTGGACCCCAAGAAACTCAAAGTCTGGCTCAACAGAAACCTTGTGGACATCAAGACAGGCCAGATGATAGATGTAACCCCAGGCTGGGGACTGAGGGGCTAAGCAGGGTCCCAGTGAAAGGACCCAGGACAAGATCCCAGACAAGGTCCTGGACAAGAGACTGAACAAATGGGGCAAGCTACATCCTGGGCAACATGAGGAGGAGTATGGCCAGCTGCCTGAGAGAAGCGGTTGTCCCCTCTGCACAGCACCAGGAAACCCCCAGTTGGCTGCTGTGCCCACCTGGCCCCCCAGTTCAGGGAGAGGTGGAGGAGCTGGAGAGGGCCCAGCAGATGCTGCTGGCAGGGCTGAGTCCTGGGGCCACAAGAGACGTGGATTGGGATCTACCAGCATCACGCAGCTACCTGGAGGGCAGATGCAAAGGTGACAGAGCCACGTTTTCTGGGTAGGATATGAGGTGTAACAATGGACAAACAGACATTAATTGCAGCTTCAGGTTGGACAGTAGGAAATACTACATTTTTTCCTGGGGAGGCGGTGCAGCTGTGGGACATGCCACCAGGGAGGTGGGGCAGGTCCATCCTTCAAGACACAGCTGGGTAAAGACATGGGTGACCTTACCCTGTGCTGGTGGTGTTTCTGTTCCAAGCAGGATGGTGGGCTAGAGGCCCTCAGCGGTCCCTTCCCACCAGCAGCACCAGAATCCTGCCAGCCCAGTGAAGGGCAACCTCCCTACCTGCAAATTCTTTCCCACCCCACAGACCCAGGACACCTTGACAACCAAGGTCCCATGCACTGGACCGCGGCCCCATCCCAGGCACACCAGGACTCGCGCTGGCCCGCATCCCAATGATTCTAAAGCCCATCAGCTTCCTCCACGCTGCTGGGAGGCCTGGCCACTGCTCCTGGCAGGTGATCAGCTGATTCTGCCAGCGAGCTGGTGCTGCAAAGTCAGGCACAGAGATTGCCAGTGTGTCGGCGAGGGGAGAGCGGGGCCGGCAAGGGCTGGGGGGCTCGGGGAGCCAGGGGCAGCTCTGCCCTGAAAGCCGAGCCACCTGCGTGCTGCTACCTGCTGAATAATAGAGGAGCTGACAGCCAGCCGGAGAGAAATGTGATCCTGGTTAGCCAGCCGAGGAAGACATCCGAGCTCTCAGCAGCCGCGATAGCAACTGCAGGGAAGGAGCCTTCCTCCCCGCTGCTCTGTGCAGCGCAGCGTGGCCGGGGTGGTTGGAGGTCTCTGCCCATCCGGGTGTACCTGGGCAGCCAGTGTCCACTCCAGAGACACGGGCTCAGGGCTCGGAGGATGATGTGAGCTGCAGCAGGCACCCGGTGAGGCAGAGCTCAAGGGCAAAGCCAGGTTTCCCTGGGAGGTGAGGCAGAAGGAGCCTGCCTGCAGCTGGTGCCTGCATCCTGGGTCTGGTTGCTCAGCCCCATGTCCAGAGGAGAGGAGATGGTTTATATCCCAGATGACTCCGACTTCAGCTCCTTCAGGGATCAGTGCGAGAGCCTGGAGGGCTGGCACTGTCGGTATAACAAGGCTGGCGTGACCGTGTGGAGTCAGGGCCAGGAGGAAAGCTGCGCCGTGCAGAAAATCAAGGTAAGCAGATACTGGCGGCTGCAGGACTGCCAACCCCTCCCTGCCCCAGCTGTGTGCCCAGCTGCTCCTGAGGGTCCCTGGGGTGCTGGCCCATCCCTGGGGGTGCACAGCACCCTGGTCAAGCCTGCCTGGGGGTGTTGCTGCTCCCAGTGCCAGCAGGGTTAGTCCCGCAGAGGTGCTTCCCCAGCTGGCATGCTGCTCTGCAAGCTCTCCCTGCCTGCCCCGCGGCTTTAGCCTCTCGACCTGCTGGGATGCCTGCTGCAGTGCTCTGCCATGCACGCACACTTGTGGGCTCACGTTGCGGCTGCCCTTGATCCAGGCATAGGCGGGAAGGCCCTGGGATTGATTACATTATGGAGATGGCCTTGCTGGGAGCACCCGGGGCATCAGACAGACTGGCGGGATGCCTCTCTGGTGCCTCTCTCCCAGACACACCATCCTGAGGCACATGACCGCTCATCCTGCACTCAATGAGCATCCCGGAGAGTTTAAGTACCCCCATGTGCTGTCTCAGGAGCTTTGCTGCTTGCCAGGGGCCAGATCTGGGATGCTGCAGAGTGACTAACGAGGTTCAACCATCCCTCAGGCTGTGACACCTTGTTGCTCATCCACATGGCACTGCCAGGGGACCCTGAGTACATCAGGAGTGGTTACAGGGTGCTGGGGGAGAGGGGCATGGGAGCCCCATCACGGGGTAAGCCCTGCATGGGAGCATCCTGCGGGTCAGTGCCTGGCTCCATGGCTGGTGTTGCGGGCAGGGCTTTGGCTTTTCTGGCTACCAAGGATCAGGAACGCTGGGCAGGGATGGGATCCACCTAAGTAAGTAGGGCCAGAGCATCTTACCTCCAGGACAGCCAACCTGACAAAGAGAGCTTTCACCCAGGAGTGTCAGGGAATGGTTACTACGATCTGAAGAGCAGGGGCGGTGTGGGGAGGTAGTGAGGAGGCACCTGGGTACAGTATGCTGTACAGGAGGCTCTTGCACCACTCTCCTGAACACAGAGTAACTGGCAGCTTATCTCAGGTGCCTGTGCACCAGTGCATGCAGCTGGGGAGACACCAGGAGGAGCTGGGCACACAATTGCAATGCTGCCATGGATAGAGGCCCTTCAGGGTGAAGGTGAGGAGGAGGAGCGGTGCTCTCTGCTGAGTTGTAGCTGCAATACACACCACCTTGTCGCAGTGAGTCAGGGAAGAGCTTCTGGGCTAGGATCAGGGAGCACTCAACCAGTTGGGCATGCACAAGTGCAGAGGACCAGGTGGAATGTGCCCAGGGGTGCTAAGGGGTCTGGCCAATGTCTCTTTGAAAAGTTATGGTGACTGCAGGAGGTCCCTGGGAAGAGGCATATGTCACATCGATCTTCCAGAAAGGCAAGAAGGATGCTCCAGGGCACTATGGGCTGCTGTGTCACCTCTGTCCCTGGGAAAGTGATGGAGAACATCCTCCTGGAAGCCATGTCCTGAAGGACAAGGGCAGTGGGAACAGCAGCAGGGACCTACCAAGGGCAAATCATGCTTGACCAGCCTGGTTGCCTGGACCCCAGGCAGGCTCAGGGGCATCATTGCCCAGCCTGGCTCATTACAAGGAATATCTCCTTGATGTGGTTTTTCCGTTCTGGACAGGGCTTGGGCATCATGCAGGGGTTAGCACTGCCCAGGACCCTTCCCGAAAGGAGGGATGGAGGATGCCACCCAGTCTGGGCAGGAGACCTGAGCTGTACAGGCTGTGGCTTGGGGGTCAGAAGACCCCCGGTCTTTCTGTTAATGCAGGCCTAACCTGAAGAGTCCCTGAACAGTTCGAGGTTCGGATTTTTTCTACCTGAATTCACTGTGGATGGCCTGGTTTGGGGCTCTGTGCTTTCCCCATCCCAGCTGACCACCTGCTGCTGTGCCTGGTGTGGCTGCTGCACAGCCTCTGTTCATCCTTGGTGTACAGGCTTTAGTGGGGGATTTCGGGGGTGCAAGGCTGAGATGGCCCCAGCGTGATAACTGGAGCTTCCAGGAGCCCAGGAGGACCATGAGCTCCACCTCCAACTGGAGGCATCCTTCACCCAACAGCAGCAGCACCTCCAGACCCAGCTGGGAGGGGGTGGCTGGGGACAGGGAGCAGAAGGAGGGAGCTGGGTGCTCCCACACTCTCCTCCATGGTGCCCTGTGGAGCGCAGCACATCTCCAAGCCTGTCCTGGGCACAAGTCCAGCACACCAGGCAGAAACCGTCACCCAGGCCATCGGGGAAAGCTTGCCTGAGATTGATGGGACCTGAAACGTTCAGAGGGCCATCTCCAATTACATGGCACTGCCAAACACCTCATCAAAGATGCAAGGCTTCTAACGAGGAGCAGATGACATCTCCTTCCTCCTGGCATTGAGAGGAGCAAGGCAGCCAGCTTCATCAATAATGCACTTGTCAGTGCGGTCGGGCAGCTCCACAGCTCCAGTTACAGCCGGGGCCCCGCCAGCCTCCCCAGAGCAGACCCCGTGCCTGAGAGCATCATGCCAGGGCAGGAGCGTCCCTTTGCTTGTTCTGCAGCAACATGGAGTGAGGGGACAGGGGTGGGCTTGGGGCACCCAGGCACCAGAGCCTGGACCACCCCGTTTGAGGGCAGAGGGTCCTTCTACACCCACTGCTCTCCTGCCTTTGCACTGTGCTGCATGGTGGCTCTGCCTGGGCTGTCCTGGAGCAGACACAGGGACATGCCCTGCACCACGGCTGCCAAGCATCCTCCATGGCACACATGTATGTGGCTTTATAGCAGCACAGGGGAACACCACCACACACAGAAACAGCCTGAAGTCCTCATCCTCAGATAGGCACAGCTCTGTGCTCTGGGGTTGGTGCTGCGCCCCTGCCCAACAGCCCTTCTCCCCACAGACTCGCATCTCCTGCAAGGATGTCCCTGCCGAGACGCTCTATGACGTACTGCACGACACCCGCTACCGCAAGAAATGGGATTCGAACATGATTGAGACCTATGACATCGGGCGCCTGACTGTAAACGCTGATGTGGGATACTACTCCTGTGAGCAGCCCCCAGGGCCCCTCTCCCTGACCCCACAGCCATGTGCAGGGATGCGGGGCCGTGGGGGCAGCAGGTCAGGGTGTAACGGGGTCTCTCCACAGGGAAATGCCCGAGCCCCCTGAAGAACCGAGATTTTGTCACCCTGCGCTCCTGGCTGCCCCTGGGCAACGACTACATGATCATCAACTATAGCGTCAAGCACCCGGTGAGCCCCCGGCCGGCCCCAGCCCTTGCAGGGGTGCTGAGCCTATGGAACAGCGGGCACAGGCAGGGCTGGGCAGCGGAC